ATCCCGGGGGGCCCCTCCCCGTTGGCCTCTCTTCTTCTCCCTCTCCCTCCTATGCCCCTAGGAGTCACACGGCAGGAGGCGGCCCCAGGAGGCAGGGGACCAGACCTGGAACCCCAACAGGCTTCCTGAGGCTGAGATGGTGGGGGAAATGCTCTCCGTGCCTCCCCTGGTCCTCCTGATCCCTGAGGCGCCCTCCCTTCCACCTCTCCTCTTCTCCCCCCACTTCCCTCCTACCCCACTGGGACAGACGCAGCCCGGAGAGGGCCTCAGAAGGTGGAGGACCTGCCCCGAGAGCCCCTGAGGCTTCCTGGGGCCCGACTGGGCTGGGGAAACGCTAGGTGTGTGACCTCTGGTCCTCCAAGCCCCTGAGGGTCCCTCCAGGAGTGGGAACCTGTCCCCCCTCCCAGCCACCCCTCAGGGGCACTGGTCCTGTCCAGCCTCCACTTCTCCTTCCCCCTCACTCCCCCCATGTCCTACCCAGTCGCTCAGGTGTTCCTCCCGTCTCCTTGGGCGTTGAGGTCCTCCACCAGCAACCAGCAGGTGCCCTAGTTGTGGGGAGATGTGAACTCCATGTCTTCCCGCTAGATGTATTCTTGATGTGCTCATCAGGGAGGTGAGCTCGGCATCCTCCTGCTCTGCCATCTCGGTCTCCCTTGTCTTCCTCTTCACCCATTTTTTTAAAAATCTTTTGTCTTGTTTTTATTCAGTAGTAGGAGCAATTTGTGATAAGGAAATTAGTCTTTTATCATGATGTGTCTTCCCCTTGGCTTTATTAATGTTTTTTTTTCAATGTATAGGACATTTATATGTAGTCATAATCACTACTTAGTTTTCCAGCTGTTTGCTGATCTAAAAGCGTCTTCCAAATTTGAGGATTTCTTAAAAGGAGTTCAGGGAAGATCTTTCGGTGCTATATTTTTCACACAGGTTAAGAAAGTTTTTTTCTATGAAATAAAAAAAAAAAAAAATATTCCCCTACCTGTTTTCTAGAAAGGACTTAAGAGACCTTATAATAAAAGACATCAATTTTATTAGAATAAAGTCTGAACACCAAAAATAGTAAATAAGAGAAAAAGCAGGTACCATAGTCACAAGAATTTATTTATTGAAAGATAAATTAGATGTATTAATTTATTTAAGTAACTCTGACCATTAAATTTCTTGGCAGTCATGTCCGAAGAGCCAAAATTTTAAAAAGGTACATTAATTAGATTTTTGTTATAAGAGGACACATACTGATTCTTTAAGAGAAAGATGTTATCGTACTAAATTCTGCAGGTAGTTTATCACAGGGAGTATTATTCAGGGAGATTTGTGTCTTTGTTTTTATTTCTGTTTGTTTGGCTGCAACAGGACTTTCTGACTGAATGTTCCTAGTCAGAAATCCTTATCTACCTATGGAGTTCTCCCATTGTATTCATTAGGACTCTGGACTGTTCAATTCTTCTTTCTTCTAATGACCAGGTTTACCTCACTTATTCTCAAGGGAGAGTAATTCTGATAGGACATCTGTCCCTCTTGCCAGAAAGTTGCAACTGTTAGAGACTAGGATCTGGGATAGAAATCAAAAGTTGTTGGTTTCAGGCAAAGTAAATCACCCATCATTTGAACGTTTGAGCTGTTGTCATCAGCTATTGGGCTTCCTGCACTGCCTTTTTGTCTTAAATTCTTTCCCTTTCTTCCTTCACAGAGATCTGCCAGACTTTTGCTGAAGTGGTGAGCTGTGTGCTCTAAGATCTAACTTTTGGGAAATAGGTTTCCTCCTGAAGAGGGCTTTGACAAGAAAGCTGTTGGGTGTAAATGAGCGGATCATGACAGATGTTTTTCATTGCTCCAGTATGCTTTTGTGAAATAGGAGGCCTTTGAAGCTTGGAGCAGCTCCCCTGTGGCATGCAACAGAAGACTGTGCCTCCTTTAGACACAGGGAACATCAAGGGCACCTCTGGGTACCACACGGCAGCTTAGACAGAGTGCAGCTGAGACGCAATGGGTTTTTCATTTATTACTCTTTGAAGACAGACATATGTTACCTCGAGACAGAAGAATCTTAAAAAAGAAAAAGAAGTCCTGATTATTTGTTTTAGATGCTCTTCCTCTTTGAGTAATCTGCTCACTGGATTAGTTACTTAACAAAATACAGTGTTCGTAGGATTAATGGAGAAGAGAGGAATGTGAAAAACACTCTAAGCTGGTTTAATGAAACAAAGATATTAATGATATTTAGGAAGCCTGAGATTTACCATTCTAGACTTTGCTTTACCTAAGACTTAAAGATGTAGATGACCTTGGAAATATACTCATTTTAATTGGCTTTTGTGAACCTGTCTACCACCACCTGAGGTGAAAGCCGAGAATAGCTCACTCTTCTCTTATTTTTTTCCCTTGCAGTTTTACTGAGATATAATTGACATACAGCACTGTATAAATTTAAGGGGTACAACTTAATGACTCGACTTACATATTTTGCAAAATGATTACTGCAATAAATTTAGTTGACATCCATCCCCTCATGTATTTGCCAAAAAAATGTGTTTCTCCCTTGTGATGAAAACGTTTCCACTCTTTTCTTCTTGAGTCATCATTCTGTCTGCAGTGGAAAGCCCTCACACTCGTAAACTTCTCTGGTCGCAAGAAGTTTCTAAGAAGAAATCTGCAAAGAAAAAGAAAAAAGGTTGATGCAAACTGTCTTGTCCCTACTGTCTCCCCTTTCTGTGTGTGTGTGTATCGAGTTACCTCAAAGACAGAATATTTGGGGATGCACATATATGTGCTTTCATTAAAACACATCACTCTCAGTAGTACCCTATACATTACTATTAAAACAAACAAACAAACCCGGATAGATCAAAATTTCACTTTTCTCTGTCACCATAAACTAAAGCTATTCAGTGGCTACTACATCCTTGGCTCTCTATTGTTTTTTTATTTGGATATAAATGATATTACAGTATCCTCATCCCAGTCTATTACAAACCAGAGTTTAGAACGCCTCTTGAAGATTTTGCTTTTTATAAACAACTTAACAATAAAAAACAGTCATTGCCTAGATAACATTTATTGCTACAGACTCTCAAGTTGTTTATTATTAAACATACCTATTGTGATAAATTTTCTAGAAACTTTGAGCTGTACAGATACTTATAATTGCCACTATTATCTATATAGTTTTGCAGATTGTTCAGTTTTTGTTTTCTTTTGATGCTTTGCTTCCACCAATGAGAGAAATATTTTTAAACCATGCTGGAAGTTGAAACCTAATATGAAATGTTGACCGGACGGGATACTGGCCTTCTTGAGGCTTTCCTGCTAGGATTACTTGTCAGTGATTTAGGAATGCCATTCACTGTTGTAGGCATTCCTCATGCCCTAACACAGGCACCCAAGCATTAGGACAATGAGATTCATTGTATGTGAAGAAAGGTCAGCAGTTGTTTCAGTAATTCATAAGATATTGGAATTAAGATGACAATTTAAAAGCTAAATGTCAACAAACAAACAAACAAAAAAACAAACAAAAGCTAAATGTCAAGGCTTGGAAGGCCTGCATACCTTTGTTCTAGTCAACCTGAGATACTTGACTTCTCAATGGTTTAATCTTCAGGAGCAGCAAAGTAGGATAAAGAATAAAGAATATGAATAAAGAATAAAGAACCCAACATGATGCCTATCGTGTTACAGTAATTTTTAGGATTGTTAAACACTAAATGAACTTAGTAAGGAACACAAAATGTTAATGGTTTCTTTAGTTATTTTGAATATTCTTTTCAGTGGTTAGTGAGTAATCTTCAATAGTGTACTTAACTAGGCTGCTGTTTCCAATTTCCAATTGTGAAATTATATAATTATTGACTTACACCATGGTGTAAAGAAATTACTTCTTTTTCAAAGAGTGATAAAATTAAATAAATAATATACCAATACGGGTGCCCCTTCACTTACAGAAAGACTGGTCTCCACGAGGTGATATCCAAAGCAACTAACCTGAAATTCTTAAGAGAAGCTGTTTTCAATTCACTGTATTCTCTTCTTAAAATAATTGGTAGTCATATTTTGGCTGTGTGTATCATCTAAATGTTCCTTTCTTTCCCGGGCATTTGTCATAACTCTATTTGGGGTGTAAGTATGCCCTCTCTCACTTAATTTCTTTCCTGACTTTCTCATTCCTTGTTAAGGATCTCAGTTTTTCCATGAAATAATTTTATGAATAATGGCCAGTATCCTATTTCATGTTACCAAAGTGCACTGGCCCAGTTAGTGTCTTAATCATTAAATAGGATAAAGACCGATAAGTAGTGTGCTAATGCAAAAACTGAAACATGAATTAACTTAATATTAAGTGTGTAGCTTTAAATCATTTGGGGGGGGGTCACTAAAGTAATAAAGCCTTGTGTTGTCCTGGTTATTAACTTTGGGGAACATTTCAGTGAGGTGAGGCCAAATGCCATGTCCCTCTGCTCCACCTTGTGCTGGAAAGGAAATAAATAAGAGTGCTTTTGCTCATTCGCAGATAACCCTAGCAGTGGGACCCAACAGAGATTCTAGAGACTGTGGTAGGAGATGTACACACTTGGAGACGGGAGAGAGTATGGAGCTTATGATGAAGGTAGCAGCGTGCCCAAGAGACATCCCTGAGGAGGTTGTTGAAAGTCTAGTCCAGATTCTAGTTCTCTGCTCTGCTGAACTTTGTGTATAACCTGAGAGAAGTCCCGACAATCTCTGTGGACCACAACTTCCTCCTCTGTATAACCTCTTAGTTATTTCAGCTTTAAAAGGACATGAATTTCTACACTGAAGTAGGTTTGTAGGAGCTAAACTAAGCCCCTATGTACTGAGGGTCTATGGGAAAATGCAGAGTTCCAAATAAACAATCACAAGGATGCTTTTATTATAGAATCCAAATAGACACAGACTGTGAAACGCTGGACTTGTGACTGGTTTATTAACTGGGAAATTCTGGAATTGAAGTGTGACTAGCCCTTTTCTGTGTTGATTAATCACAGACCCCAGAGGGTATAAGTGAAGAACAAAGGATTCAGGAGTTGACTGCGATGGAAGAGTCCCGGATAGCAATTCTGAACAACCTCGAGGAACTTGAACAAAAAATCAAAGATATAAATGACCAGATGGAGGAATCTTCCAGAGAGGTATAAACCACAAGTTCACTTATTACCCTCTCTCATTTTTCTTTCTTTCCTTTAGCTTAAATATGTCAATGCCTATTAAGGCACAGGCCTTGGGGGGCATATACATAGAGGTCAACATGAGCAATTTGTAGCTGTGTAAATGGGTACATATGTGGGGTAGAAATGCCTTTTTTAATGTTTCTTTCTGTTTTTTTTTTTCATCCAATGAGATGAACATATGAAGCCATTTTTATTGTGCGTTACATATAACCGACTTTGTCTTAACTAGTGTATGCTTTCTGAGCTGCTTCAAGATCTGTCAGCTGAGGTACCATGTATTTAGACGTTTAAGTTCAAATCCAACAAACATTTTCTGAGCATTTTCTGAGCATGTTAAGTATGAGTTGGGCACTATGGGGGATTTACATAATTAAAGAAAGGGGCAATTTTTTAATACCTCCATGGAATGAGAAGCAGCAGCTAACTCTGCCTAAGAAGGATCTGCATGTCTGTCCTCACAGATGACGCAGTCAGCCCATGTGTGGAAGGGGACTGCTCACCTGTCATCTTATGCATAGACCCTGGGAAGCCCCTCCTGCTGGCATTGCTAGGAATGCAGCGCTTGCGTGCTGGGCTGAGTATAATATTCATTTCCCATGCTCTAGGGACAAACAGAGACGTGGCTGCTCCCAAGATGGTTCACGCTTGAGCTTGAATCTAAGCGAATAGGCAAAATATCCTTGAGAAATAAGCAGAAAAGGGGTTATCATAGAAAAATTAAATGAGAAGATAACTAGTGTTCTTAGCAAATATATTCTGGCCTCCCCACTTTCTCATATAGGAATCCTGAGTCTCACATAGGTTCTCTGGAGTGTTTTCTGGGCTCCATAATCTGACCGATAATGGTAATACTTTTTGCAATTTGTAGCCGTTAAAAATACACCTCTAAAGGGGGCAGCTGAAAATTTCTCTGAAGGTGAAACACCTCTGAGCTTTGTTTTGTTTCCTCAGTTGGATATGGAATGTGCTCTCTTGGATGGAGAACAAAAATCAGAAACAACTGAACTTATGAAAGAGAAGGAGATTTTGGATCATCTAAACCGGAAAATAGCAGAACTGGAAAAGAACATTGTTGGTGAAAAGACCAAGGTAAAAGAAAATTATATTTGATACAGATTTTACGGGCAAAATGGTGCTTCCATCTGATTGAATTTAAATGTTGTATGAATTGCCATGGTTTTGGATTTGTGTGTCATGTTCCTGGAGACAGCGGCACTGGAAAAAAGTCTTAAGATGAGGTAAGTAGCTGCAAATTAAGAACTGTCAGGTGCGGAGCAGCTGATGCTAAGACAGTAGAGCCTGTTTAGTTTTGAGCCAGTATTCATGGCAGCTTATTCTGCTTGAGCTGAGTGAATTGCTTTTTTCCAATCAGGCTTTCTGCTCTTCCGGTTCTGCTTTGTTTTTAAAGAATCATTTTAGTACTTTGGAACTTCTTTCCAGCATTGCCCTGTAAGGGTGGCTTAAACATACTCAAATACGGTTGCCTCATTTCTTTTCATTTTTCTGTTTATTAAAAAGATGAATGGGAACCATGCATTTCATCTGTCTCGCCTTGCCAATGGCTTCAATGCAAGTGCACTGCTCTTTGAAAAATGCACTGCAGTTTTCAGGGGATCCTCACACACTGCTGAGTGAAAACTGTGAAACACAGCTGACACTTATTTTGGAAAAGAATTTTTTTTTTTTTTTTTTTTTTTTTTTTTTTAATTTTTTTTTTTTTTTTGCGGTACGCGGGCCTCTCACTGTTGTGGCCTCTCCTGTTGCGGAGCACAGTCTCCGGACACGCAGGCTCAGCGGCCATGGCTCACGGGCCCAGCCGCTCCGCGGCATGTGGGATCTTCCCGGACTGGGGCACGGACCCGCGGCCCCTGCATCGGCAGGCGGACTCTCAACCACTGCGCCACCAGGGAAGCCCCGGAAAAGAATATTTTTGAAATGCTTACACATTTCAGGCCACAACCTCAGTGTTAGCCGATACCTCCTAGGGAGTCTGAAGAATTACGTGCAGTTTTTAGAATTCGGGGTGGTAGTTGGGTTTTTTGTTTTTCTGTTTTTCTGTTTTTTTGCGGAAAATATTTCACTTACTCTCCTCTCAAATTCTGAGTTAGTTACAAACGAACTAAGCCTAAATTAAAAATTAAAATTCCAGTTTGAGAAAGAAAAACTAATGAGCTTGAACACATTCCTTTCTTGCTCATCACGTTCTCCACTAAGCTGAGAAAAAGAAAAAAATTTCAGTTTGAGTAAACTCCAGTGGTAATATGTGGAAAAGATTTCTGCTCAGTGTGGCTTCCTTTTTAGGCTTCTTTTTGTTTGCGACCTATAAAGAAGGGCATTTGATCTTGGTGCCAGAGAATGAGCTCAAAAAGATATTGTCAGAAATTGAAGTCAGATTAAAAGCTACATACCAATATCTTGGTTGCCTGCTTATCAAGATTAAAATGCACATCTTTTTCATATTAAATTTTATGTATGTGCCTTCGAGCTCTAGACTTTGAAATAGTAAAGAATCCATTTGGGTAATAGCTACATTTTTCTTTAAAAGCTGAAAACCATATCGAAGGATTGATTGTCTAGTTCTGCTATACAGGAGGATTATGGTTTTCAAAGTTTCCACACTGATAGAGCAAGAAACTTTCATTGGAGGCATCAGATGTTTTTGTTTTGGTGCTTACTAGTATTTTACTATTTATGTCATACTGGAAAGCTTGCAGGACATAGGAATGGGTTTTCAGGTTCCCTGTGAACCTGTCTGCCTTCCCCATCCATGTAGTTGTTTATCTTTGTGTAGCCCGCATATGACATGACCTATACATTTCTATTTGTCTACCTGTCATTAGCATCATATTCTACACAAAACTGAAGCAAGTTGAGTCAATGCTAAATCTCACTTCCCAGGGACAGTTGTGTTATATTCTCCAGACCTAAGTAAGGTAGAGTCAGAACTCCAGGAACATGAGTGGAAACAAGCAAGGAGGAGGCTACTTCCACCCTTCCTATTATTGTTTTGGTGGCTTGATAGAGGCTGTGCATAGGAGAGAGGACGATGGGGGCTTGAAGTATAGAATCAGTTCATGCAGCTGTTAGGGGATTAGTTGGTCTCGGAAGGTGGGATTATCATCTGTCATCACATGATATGAAAAATGGCAAAAACTGGCTTTGGGTGAGGGATTCCAGAGGAGAATGAGGGAAGTGAAAGCAGACTGAGCTGGATGATGTTACTGCATATTCTTGACAACCAAACTCAAATAGAGACCCATGACTGCTTGGCAACATCTCTCTGTTTCTCAAGTAAAGTTATTCTACCAGTTTATAGCATGGCTATTTCATACCTTCGCTCTGTTCAAACTTCTAGTCCACTTTCATTCCCCTGGCTCTGAGATGATTTCACCACCTACTTCACTGAGAAATTAGAACATCTCATCTTCACAACTAAGGAAGGCTCTCTTCCCCTCAAATACCAGTCCCTTTGGATGTGCCCAGGGTACCGTCCCACCATCTAGAGGTCTACTACAGTCCTTCTGTTCTGAGCTCCCCCCAGCCTCTCCCTCTTTATTGGACCTGTACTGTCAGTATGCCAATATTATTATTTTTTAAAATTATTATTATTTAAAAATAAAGTTCCTTCCAGCACCTGCCTTAGCTAGTTTCTCTTCAGCATAGCCAAGCTTTGCAAACAGTTTTCTCAGTATACTGTGTGTTCTCCTGCTTAGTTCACCATTCCTCCCATTCTTGTTCCACTACTCCATCAGATTTGCTCCTGTTAAGGCCACTAAAAGCCTTGGTGCTGCCTAACCCACCCACTGGGTGCTTTTCAGCCCTCTCACGATCAGACTCCTGAGCAGAATTCAAGACAAGGGACAACTCTTTTCCTTGACACTTCCCCTCCCCCACGCCTTTGCCTTCGTGTACCACACTCCTCTGGTTTTCCTTCTCTTTCTCTTACTTATCTCTCTGACTTTTCCATCTGAGTTCCCATTCCTTCTTCCTCTGCCTCTATCCAGCCAGTTGTTACAGTGTCTCTGATCTGAACCTTCTTTTTTTTTTGAAACAAGCTCAGACTTTCCTAGAAGTCCACAGAAAAGTTCTGCTTGCTTTCATTGGCCTGAATTAAGTTATATGCTTTGAATCATTTACTTTTTTTTTTAATTGAGGTGTAATTGACATATAATATTATATTAGTTTCAGGCGTACAACACGATTCGATATTTGTATACATTGTGAAATGGTCACCACAATATTTCTGGTTAACATCTGCCATCTCTTGTTGAGAACTCTTTTCTCTTATGTTCTCACATTCTTTTATAGCCATGGCTTCAAATAACATGTACATGCTGGTGACCGCCAAATGTATGTCTTTAGCCCACAACCCTGTTCTGTACTTCTGACTTATATCCTGTAGCCTACCTGATATCTCCACTGAGATATTTCTCAGGTATTTCCAGCTGAACACGATGTAACCGAACTCTTGATCCCATCCCTCCCCTGGCCTTCCATCCCTGCCTCTGATCCTGTTCTTCCTCTAGTTTTCCCACCAGGACATGGCATCTCTAGCCACCTATATGTCCAAACAGAAACCTGGAAGTAGATCTTGATACTGCTTTCTCTGTCACCCCCACTTCTAATTGATTACAAAGCTATTTTTCAATTACTTTAACTTCTCCACATCTCCCCTAATAGCATTCTCTTCTAAATCATCAAAATTTCCTTTTGAGTTCCATTTCCATTTACTTCCCTTCAGTCTGTTTGCTTCACAGCAACCAGAGTGATTTTTCTTTTAAAATTTAAATTAGGTCATATCACTCTGGTTTGTGTTCCCCTGTATTTTATATAAATCTAAACTCCTTACCTGTCCTGACCCTTTCTATCACCTTTCTCCCCTCTTCACACCACTCTCATGGCGGCCTTCCTTCTGTTTGTTTAAAGATCCATCCCACCCTCCACCCCTGCCAAGGTCCCTGGCAGACCAGCGTGTCCTGCCTGGAATTCCCTTTCCTATATTCCATGCCTTGTTGGTTGCCTGTCTTTCAGCGCTTAAGTTCAGTGTTAGTTTTTCAGAAAAACCCTACTAACCCTTTCCAGCTCAGATTATACTCTCTCTGTTGTTCTTTCAGTCCTTTTACAAATCACATTTTATAATTTATGTTTGTTTTGGGCTTGTTAGATATTTGTTTCCCTCTCTAGCCTGTGAAATAGAGGCAAGCACTGTTATCCACTGTTTATCCAGCTCATAATAGGTGCCAGAATACCGCCCAGTGTTCTTCGGGAATATTGTACTTGGATCTCCTGCTAACAGTGAGTCCTGGCTGGCTCTGAACAGAAACATTGAGCCAAACACCTGCCTGAGAGCTACGTGCAGCCAAGTTTCAGGACAGCTGGGGTGGTCTATCCAAGTGCTCATGCCAGGGGCTTGTAATCACGCTGCCCGTCGAGCCAGAGCGTAAGACAGAAGAAGGAAATGGCCTTTGCACTTTTGGATCTCGTTTCCTTTTCCATACACCTGTTGCTGCTGTCAGATATAAACTGTGGAATGAGAAAACCAAAACCTGAAAAGATATCCCTGTTGGGGAAGCTCCACTTCAGATGTCAATAGCACATCCTGTAAGCCTGGCCCTCATTTTTTGGAGACGAGGCCTGGAGCCATAGGAAGAAAGTTCAGTAACACCTTAGAGTTCAAATCCTGGTGTGAAGTTAATGACATTGTTTCCTTGGCTCTCAAGACCAGTCTTTAGCATTGTTTCTTTTAGCTGATTTGGGATCTATCATTCTATTTTACATATTTAGTATAAATTAATGTATTTCATAGGTGACCACTATTTATTGTATGCTATCATATAAAATATAAACTATAGACAAAATTACATATACAACATAAAATATACACAGTGTATTTAATTGTGTATTTGTTGAACATTTTTGCAGTGGCTCCCTGGGCTGACCTTTCACCGTCCTTATGGGGACCACTGTCAGGAACATCAGTGCACCTGTTTCCATGCGGCTCTGAGCTAAATGCCACCTGCCTGTTGTGTTCTCAGACGGTAGCCACATCACAAATAGATTCTCTATGAACTAATAAACCCTAAACAAAT